CTCCCTATAACAATTGTATTTTTATGTTGATAGTGATTTAAACTTTGAAAAATGCTTTTTATATATTACTTCTTACGAGCCTCCCAACAATCCTGAGGCAGGTATTATGGGTATTACAAATGAGGAAACTGAGGCTCAGTTAGGTGACACTGTTTCTCTCCACAGCAGCTATTTCAAATCTCTTATCAAGCACACATGCCATGACTTCCCCCGACTCTCAGCAGAGGACCTTACCTCATATTTTACTGAAAAGTCCAGGCCACCTGTGATAAGCTCCCTCTCCTCTTGAACTTCACACACTTCAATTCAACTCAGTGGCATCCCTCATTCTCTCTCCTGTGGCCCCAGTACTGGGTAATAATATGACCCTTCTATTTGACAATACTAACCCTTCTATTTATGCCCTGGATTCCAACTCCTCTAATCAGGCTGACCTAACCAGTATCCCTTCACACTTTCCCTAATTTTCTATTTCCCCCTTATCAAATGGCTTCTTCCTTGCCATCTACATACTTAAATCTTGCCCATCCTTGGGCATCTACGTGGGTTGTGCAGTGAATAGAGTGCTGGGCCTGGAGTTAGGAAGAAATGAGTTCAAATCTGAACTCAGACACATACTAGCTATTTGACCCTGAGCATTTCACTTAACCTCTGTTTGCTTCAATCCATCTGTAAAATGGGGATAATAAAAGCACTTACTTCCCAGGGTTGTTGTGAGGATCAAATGAGATCATATTTGCAAAGCATTCTGCAAACTTTAAAGTGTCATATAAACAACTATCCTTAAAAAAAAAAAACACCACTTTCATGAAACCCTGTAACTTCAAGCTATTGTCTTTTACTTCTCTCTTCCAAAAGCAAGCTCCTAAGAAAAGTTTATTACCACCCACTCACTTCTTGCCACATGACTTCTAACCTTCACTTAACTGAAACTCCTCTTTCCAAAGTCACCAATAATCTACTGCTAAATCCACTGGTATTTCATCAGTCCTCATATTTATTGACCTCTCTATGGCACCTGACACTACTGAGCACCCCTTTCTTCAGTATACTCTCTCTTCCCTGAATTTTCATCTCACTACTCAAATCTTGGGTCTCTTCTCACCATTCTTGTAGCAACATCATGCATATTCTGTCCTCTATGAATGTATATATCCCTGGGCTCAATCTTAGGCTCTCTCCTTTTCTCTCTCTATACTATCTTATCAGCTCCCATTGACATAGTTATCTCTATGTAGATGATAATAAATACCTATCAGGCCTTCATTTTTCTTCAGCATTCCAGTCCAGCATTTGCAAGTTCCTCCGGGACACCTCCACTTGAATGGCCCATAATCATCTTAAACTCAATGTGTATATAAGAGAATTCACTATCTCCTCTGAAATTCACCTCGCATCCTAGTGTAACTCCCTCATTTCTATTAAAGACACCACCATTCTTTCAATCAGCCAGGTTTACAACCTAAGATTCATTTTCAATTCTCCACTTTCAGGCATGCCCCAAACCTAATTATATGTCAAATCTTATCTGTTCTACCTCCTCAGTGTCTCTCACACCTGGCCCCTTCTCTCCACTGACACCAGAGCAAATCAAAGATTATAGATTTGGAACTAGAAGGTATTAAACCTCATTTTATAGATGAGAAAACTGGACCATTGAGAGGCTAACTGACCTACCCTAAATTACTAGTAATTTACTTAATAGTAAATATGTGAAACAGGTCATATTCCATACATCAGACTCCCTCTGATCCAAAAACATCCTAGTGCAAAGCCTTCATTATCTCTCCCCAACCTACTGCAACAAAGTCCTGCCTAGAAAAACCTTAAATTCCCAAAAATCTTAATTTCCTTTGAGACTCAACCCAAGTGTGACCTCAATTCAAGAGGCCCTTCTTAATTCCTCCAGTTGTTAGTGCCCTCCTATATCCTTGTCTAGAAATTACTTTGCATTTATTTTGTATACTTTCTTTATACATATTTATCCGTGAAAACATTGTTTCCCCCAGTACAATGCAAGCTCCATCAGGACAGGTTATTAGAAGTCATTTTTGTTTTTATACGTGCTGTGGTAGGCACATAGTAGGAATTTAATAAAATCTTTTTGATTGATTTGGCACACTCTTGTTCCTAAACTAGTGTCAAAGGTAAGATTTAAATCCAAGGTCTCTCAGACTCCTAATTTTTGTATCTCTCTTTCCATTAGACCATACTACCCTAATCAATTCACAGTTGGTGGAGACAGCATGGTATAATTGAAAGAATCATTAACTGGAAGTTAAGGGAAATAGTTCTAGTCAGATCTTCAATTAAATCATTTTGGGATCATGGTCCACTAATTTAACTCTCTTAGTTGTCAATTTACTCACCTATAAAATAAAAGTCTACTTAAAGTCTATCTAAAATGTCTGTCTAAAGTGCTTAACCTGGGGTGGGGTTATGGACCCCTAAGGAGAACATGGAGAGATTTCAGGGGATCCATGTATGTGGATGACAGAAAAAAAATTACATCTTTATTTTCACTAACCTCTTAATTGAAATTTAGTATGTCCCTCAATTATGAATGTAGACAATAAACTACAGCAGGATTATCAGTACCTATGAATTTGTTACCAATAGAAATTATAAATATTTTCTTAACACATTACAGTTGTTGCAGATATTTCAAAATATTGCTTATACTCATCATTACTTAGAAATTACTGCTGTGGGGCAGCTAGGTGGTACTACGGATAGAGCCCTGGCCCTGGAGTCAAGAGGACCTGAGTTCAAATTCAGACTCAGACACTTACTAGCTGTATGACCCTGGACAAGTTACTTAACCCTGACTGCCTCCAAAAAATTGCCGTTGTTACTAGCCCTGCCACTAGTTCTTGTCTTCTTAGTCCAGTCAGATCACTGTCTTGTTTGTTTTTTGTCTACAGGCAGTATGTATTTCAATATAATTGGTCTCCTTGGTAATCCTATGTATTTTATTTTACGCACTTAAAAATATGATTCTGAGGAGTTCATAGGCTTCACGGCCAAGAGGTCCATGGCAACAAAAAAGTGAAGATTTTCTGGTCTTGATGATCACTAGGGAAATTTCAATTTTTAAAATTCAATGATTCTAGAATTGACAATTCAGGCTGCCAATGGGATATTCAATTGTCCCTAAAGCTAACACCCATTCCTTCACACATTTTGTCACAGAAGAGATATAGAAACCCACCACTCCCACACAGCAATGATGTCCCTCACACCTTCCTTCAGCAATAAGATAAAAGAGCTTTCCCTGACCTCAAGAATCCTACTTGACTGAAAACACTGTCTTAGAATTTGGGCTTGTTATCTTCCCACAATGCATAACAAAGTGCTTTATAAGGTGCTAAATAAACACTGGTCAAATTGAATTAAAGTGTCTCTATAGTTCACTCTTCTCCTTATTTTCAATTACCAATCTCTTCTCCTGAGTCCTTTATTACACTATTCAAATAAGCATAAATCTCACAGATCTTCAAAGGCAAAGATCTTTGTATAAAAGATGAAACTCCCGACTTTGAGTAAAGAAGGTAAACTTCTAAAACAATTGGATGGGGTTCTAACAGAACAGAATGCCCATACCTGATGCAACTTCCTTAGGGAACAACACTCAGGTAGAAGCCATTTACCACTGCTATCAAACTATTTCTTCCACTTCCCCTTCAATTTACCCTAAACAAACCACCATTATAATTACCATTCTCCACAAAATATGCTAATGACTCTTCATACAAACACATGATATAGGCTTGAGACCCTTCTATTCCTTCATGTCTATTCTTTCCCAGTACAACTCATTGCTTTACCTACTCTATTGTAATCAGGATGCTCTTTGACAGTCTAAGTACAGAACCATCCCATTCTCTCTACTCTGAGGCACGTCCTTATGTGGGGTCGCCTTTCTCTTCTTATAGTACAGCATGTCCGTTCATTCTGTCTCTGTTTTCACACATCTCTTTCAGAAAAGCATTTCGGAGAAAAGTATACCCTTCACTCTCATCATACCTTACTTATCAAATAAAAATATAGCAATAAAGAAATTATAAATCATATATTTTAGGAAGATATGGCAGGAATGTAAAAGTCAGAAATGTCAAAGTCTGTGAAATGGTTGTTACTCTATTTTGAAATAAATAACACAGCAATCACTCTATGTTGTACTGAGGAATTGTCAAATAACAAAAATGAAAGGTCTTCCAAAGCAACTATATGCACAATAATTAATAATTTCTAAATGATTTTCTGAAACTTCAGACCCTCAAAAAATGGCTAAATCACTTCAGTTTCAGAAGGGCACAGAACTCAGAGGATCTATTTTTAAGAAAACTAACCTGTCTTTCAATTATAGAAGGACACTTCCAATCTAAAACAGGGTTGAAATTAACTGTATTGACAAGACCACTGGAGCCATAAAGTCCCAAAGTCATCCTCACAAGAAAATTGCAAGGCAGCTAAATAAAAATCAATGATTTTTTTAAAAATGTTATTGAAACTTCCTTTGATAGCATATACATTTAAAGATAGCTTAGAACTTTTGCTAGGCATTTACTCCCAATTATAGAGACTATAACCCCAATAAACATAATAAAAGATTAAAATACAAGCTGAAAATCTACCAAATTGATACTCAAAACAAATAAGGAGATATCCTTTTGATAGAAATTGGAAAGAAAAAATATCTTCACTTCAGAGATGATTCTAGTGTTTATTATATCTCAATTTTGATAAATCCCAAAAAGCTTACTCTAAATTTTTGTATCTTTTCTCAAAATTACATAGAAGATAATTATATTTATTTTAAAAAGAAAAAAAGCAATCTAACATTTTAAGTTTGTTTTCCTATAAAGGTCTCATACACCAATTCATGCACCTAAGTTAAAAATTAATAAAATAAAAACATAATATTATCTGTTTCAGGTCTTTCAGTAATAACAGTTTATACTCGGAAAAAATAACATAACTAAAAAGTTCAGTCTCACTTGGGAAATGTGGTTGATAGAAGATTCCATCCGACGTAGCTGGGATGCCTGGATATCCAACATTTGGAGGACATTATTGGCCAAAGTGTTTATCAGATAGGCTACACTTGCTAAGGACTGTGTTGTATAGGCTTTGGTTTCTTCTAGGGCTCGCTGTTTATCTGCTGACTAAAAGAGAAAAACATCGTTAAAAACAGTTCATAATGTGGATTTTCAATTGAAAAGTAATCATTAGTAACTGGGGTTCAGGAATATAAAAATAGGAAGAGATTTTACAAGATCAAAGAACTTAAAACAGTGAGCACCCATCACAGAGGGGTGCTGAATAAACTATGGCATATAAATATAATAGAATACTACCATGTCATTGCAAATAATGAATATGAAGAATTCAAAGAAATTTGGCAAGACTTAAATGAACTACGGCAAAGCAAAATGAGTAGAATCAAGAGAATAATTTGCATGATGTCCACAATGACATAAAGAAAAACATTTAAGGACCTCAAAACTCTGAAACACAATTGCAGAAAATTAAAGATGAAGTATATGTCCTGCCTCTCTACAGACAGGTGGCAGATTACAGGTGAAGAATAAGACTAATTTTTCAAACATGGCCAATTTTTTTTTTCTGCTTTACTATATTTGTTACAAGGACAGGTAAGTAGTGAGAAGTGACAGTGATTTTTTAAAGCATTGGTAAAATTTATTATCTTTGGTGGGGGAAGACTGTAAGAGAAAACCCCTCCTCTGCCTCTTAGTAGCCCACTAATTGTAGATATATAACCAAGGCTTCATCCTGGGCTCTCTCTTCCTTTTGCGCTATACTCTCTCCCTTGGTGGTGTCATCAGCTTCTATAGTTTAATTACCATCTCATGCTTATTAGTCCAAATCTAAACATCCAGACTTAGCCTCTCAAGCTCTAACCTCCATCACCAACTGCCCACTGGAAAGTTACAACCGGATGTACCATAAACATCTCAAACACAACATGTCCAAAACAACTCATCTTTTACCAAAAACTCACCCTCTCTTTAGAACTTTCCTATCACTGTCAAAGATACCATTATTCTTTCAGTCACCGAGATTCCCACCACAATGTCTTCTTCAACTCTTCTCCCTCACTCATTTTATCAGTTGCCAAATCTTGTTAATTTGGCACAGTGTATCTCCACAGGACATCTCACACTTGTCTTCTCTTCATTCACTCCCACTAAGTTCAGGCCCTCACATTACCTCTCACCTCAACTATTGCAATAGCCTCCTAATCAGTCTCCTCATTTCAAATTGCTTCTCACTCTAATCCACTCTCCCTATATCTGCCAAAGTGATTTTCTTAAAGCACAGATCTATATCATTAACCTACTTAAACTCTGGTGGCTCCCTATTATCTCTAGTATCAAATATAAACTCTAGCATTTAAAGTTCTTCATAACCTGATCCTTTCCTATCTTTCCAGTCTTCTTACAATGGCCTTCCAAGTTACACGAGCAACAAGATGGTGGACTAGACATTTTCTTTGACCCCTATGATCTCTCAAACCTCTCCAAAACAGAAATTCTGTGCCAAAGATAAAGAAACTTCAGCTATTTCTATGGTCTAGAACACCCAGAATCCAAAAGAAGGAAAAAAAAATCTTCCCACACCCAGGAACTGACACTCATGGACCCTGAGCTCACTCAGCACCCCTCTACCTACCTCCCATGCTATTGGCAGAAAGGCTGCACTAACAGATCGAGGACATGACACATGCTTTACATCAAAACACATCCCTGCACCTCAATCCCCCCTCCCTCTTTCCAGTTCCATAGAAACGCCAGGTCCATGCTACAGAAGTTTATTCAGACCTCAAAAACCAGTTTGGTCACAGCCATTCAGGAGCAAAGCCTACAAGAGGATGCACCTCCAAGCATTAGTACCAAGGAAAGCAGGCTCTTAACTGCCAATGCCAGGCCAGAGAACTGAGAAACAGAGAGAGTGGCAAAGACACCAGGACAGGATACCTTGTGTGTGAAGGGCTGTGCAACTCTGCACCAAGCAGAAGGGAAAAACTACAGCATTCAGCTGGGGCCAGTTCTGACCACCAAAAAGTATCATGAAGGCAGAAAGTAGGCTGGTCAATCATGAAATGCCCATCATAGGAAGAGGCTGAGACACCTTAAGATCTAGCCCCCAAAGAAATCACAATTAGAGGGGAGGGAATCAGGAAGTGAATAACAGGAAAAACAAGGGGGAAAAAACGACTGAAATACCAAAGATGTCGGAAGAAGAAAACTCACAGGCCTTAAATATATCAAATATAAACATAAATATATAAAACAACAGGAAAAACAGTAACAACTGAAGGAAATAGGACCTTCAGATCTAGTAAATGAGTTCAGGCATCTATGAATAAATATTGCAAAAAAAACAAAACAAAAAAAGGGAAATGATCCAACATACCCTGCAAATTGGCAAAGACGACAAAAAATTACAACACTCAATGCTGAAGGGGTTGTAGAAGGACAGGTACACTAATACATTGTTGGTGGAATTGTAAAATGGAAAAACCATTTTGAAAAGCAATTTGGAATTACTCAAATAAAGTGAATGAAATGTCCATACCCTTTGAATCAGAGTCTCTATTATGGAGTTTGTGCCCCAAGGAAGTCATTGATAAGAAAAAAAAATCCCCGTATAATCTAGTCTTCTTACATTTTGCTTCCCTTCCTTGAACTCTATAATCATTCCATCAATTCATGCCTGTGCAATCACATCAGTAACTAAAGCAAAGTTCAAAATCAATACTAAAGGAAAGATAAAGGTGAGAAAATACTGAATATAACTTCAGCAATCTCAACCTGATCTGTTTAAACAAAACACCAAGTCAAAAATGAGAAATAGGTAAAAGTGAAATGTAATCATACACAGCATTTGCAAAAATAGGGAAGCAAAGAACTTCAAAAATCAATTTAGCCAGGAAAGATTTAATTTCTTCTCCAAGTGGAAGGACACAGCCCAGTGCAATACCAGTTTAGACTACAAGCTCATTTAAAAAACATTACAGAGGAAGAGGATAATACCTTCTGAAAACAAGGAGGAAAAAAGCTTATACAAAAAATTTGGTGGGAGATTCAGATAAGCTGAGAACTAGAACAGTATGAAACTTGGAGGGTAATAAATATAGTGATCTATTTTCAACAGTGATGATAGTGGATCTATACATTTGGATACTAGCTCCTTAATACCATGAACTACTATATTTGAGTGGCAAAAGCATTTAAACCAGGAAGAGGGATGGTTGGAACTAAATGAAAACATTAACAAAAATTCTTTAATGTAGGTGACATATTATTAAAAGCACTTGACACTAAAATTTCAAGACATCTCAAAGAAAAAGAGGACTTTCCCTTTGGAATTCCATTACAAAAGAATGAGAAAAATTTTAATTATATGTATAGACATAGATATAAAAAGGGATAGACACATATATATGTGTGTATATATATGTACAATTTTATCACTAAAAAATTTGTATGAAAATGATCTACACACACACAAGAAGGGGAAAAGAGGCTTATTTTCCCCTTTGACCGAAAAAAGATTATACTAGTGATATACTTAGCAACAAAGAAAACAATCAGTCCAGAATATGAAATATGTCCGTGGCATATGTTGTTCAGTAGTTCAGTTGTGTCAGAGTCTTCATGACACCATGGACGGTGAGGTTTTCTTGGCAAAAGTACTGGAGTGGTTTGCCGTTTCCTTTAACAGTGGCAAACAGAGATTAAATGACTTGGCCAAGATCACACAGCTAGTAAGTGTTTGAGGCCAGATTTAACTCACTTCTTCTTGACTCCAGGCCCAGCACTCTATCCACTGAAGCATCTAGCTGGCCATGGCATAAAAATAAGTGAACTGATTTCAGGCAGGGAAACCTTACATTAAAAGATGTAATGTCCTCTGTCATAGAAAACTCAGTGGTAAATGTCCTATATAAGATGTTAGAGACAATTATTCTAGATAATGTGGGAGAGTTGGTACAATCCTAGATAGAATGACATCTCTAAAGGACTTAGTCCAGTGTAACCAGGAATCTGGAATTCCTTTTCTACACTCCAATGCCCTCAAGGATCAGCACAGTCAGGCTCATCTTTACACTCATCTTTACCTCTATCTCATCTTTAACCTCTTACACTTCAGCCTCTACATTTACCTCTTTTTCCACCTGATTTCCATTCCACCAAAGAACCAACAAGATGGTACTAAATCCAAAAGGGAAGACTTTCAAAGACAATTTTCTACATGAGAAAAATCACATCTTTACAGTCCTATATCAGATTAAAAGGTGTAGAAGATCATAGCATCCTACTGTATTTATTATTTATTGTCAAAGATAAAGTGTTAGAGCAAAATGCAGTCTTTAAAATATCTCCCACAGATGGTAAGATTCCATATGATTGCATAACTGATATAGCCACAGAGATGAGAGACATCACTGGAAACAAATTACTTAATTTCTCTGAGTCTCAGTTCTTCATCTGTAAAATAAGAAGGCTGGATTAGATGACCTCTAAGATCAATTAATCAATAACTATTTATTTATTAAACATCGACTATGTGCTAGGCCCTCACTAAGTACTTGGGATACAAAGACAAACGTAAAATAGTCTTGCCCTCAAGGAACACACATCCTTCAGGGTCAAGGGACATATGCATATATGTTTTGGTACTTATGGAAGGGGGTACATTAACAGCTAAGGGGACCAGGATAGGCCTCAGGAAGAACAAAGTACTTACACTTAGTCTTGAAGGAAATCAGGGATTCAAAGAAATAGAGGTAAGAAGAGAGTATATGTCAGTCATGGGGACAGAGCCAATACAAAGGCATGGAGAACAATATGAGTGGATCAGAGTACAAGGAGAGAAGTGCAGGAAGACTGAAAAAGTAGGAAAGGGCCAGTTGTGAAGAGATTTAAATGTCAAACAAGAATTTATATTTAATCCTGAACACAAAAAACAGCCAGCCATTGAGGGGAGGAAGGAGGGCTTGGGGAGAGAAGACAGAGGTTTCAGGGGGAACCTGACATGTAGAAAAATCACTTTGTCAGCTGTTTAAAAGATGAATTGCAGTGAGGAGGACCTGAGGCAGGAAGACCCAATGGGAGGCTACTGCAATAGTTCAGGGGAG